TCTATCTATATATATATATATAGATAGATAGATATATAGATATAGATATATATTATCAAATGGACAAAGTCCGACTATTATTTTAAGATATTTTTATGTTTATACATTCTTTTTTTATAGATACAAATATTTAAGTAAATTCTCTGTTTATAATAAACAGTATTAACAACATTTACCGGCCTGAATGTCCGAGTAATCTTCACAGAAAATATTCGTCCTCCGACAGGATTTGAACCTGTATCCTATACGGAACCTTGCTAACCGAACGTTCCTCTGTAGCCAAATCGGTTAAGGCACGTCAAGCTAAATGACGGTTCCGTATAGGATACAGGTTCGAATCCTGTCAGAGGACGAATATTTTCTATGAAAATTTCTCGGACATTCAGACCGGTAAATGTTGTTTAATACTGTTTAGTATAAACAGAGCATTTATTTTTTATGTAACTATAAAAAGAATGTATAAACATAAAATGTCTTAAAGTATATATTCATATATGTGTGTGTGTATATATATATATATATATATATATATATATATATATATATATATATATATATGTGTGTGTGTGGGTGTTATTAGCAATGAAAAGGACTTTCGACAAGAATGGTTGTTTGATTACAAAGGATGGATTTTGAAATAATTTCAAAGGTTTATTATTTGACGTAATATTTTATGCTTTTATTAGATAAAATAAGTGTCAACATCGACAAGAATTAGAAGTTAATAAATCTAATGATAACAATTACTGCTCTCGTCAAATATTGAAAGCCATATTTTGTACAATTTATATATACAAAAAATATTTTGCACTAGCATAATAAAAGCTGACACCGTCAAAACAGGTTTTTATACATATTCTATTAAGCATAGATATTAACTCATTCAATGTATTGATAATATAAATAAAATCGCACGATATTTTACTCATATAAATAAATAGATTTATATTATTATTTTATATGATTCTATATATTTATTTTGTTATATGATTATTTTATCTGTTATTTATTTTATTATATGATTATATATTTTATTTATTATTTATTTAATATTTATTTATTTTATTATATGTGTATTTTATTTATTATTTATTTATTTTATTATATGATTATCTATTTTATTTATTACTTATTTATTATTTATTTATTTTATATGATTAAATATATTGATATATATTATTCCGAATGATTTACGAAAATAAGTTGTTCAAAACGATTTTATAGCGTAAACTTTGAATTGCTGGATTGTAAAGTTTCTTTATAACTGATAAAATATACTCCATTAAACTGTTCTGTAGTGACCAATTACAAAATAACCACGAGTCAAACGAAAAATTATAAGAAACCTGATAGAAATGAGGACTGATCATAAAGTATCGGGACTTGTGCTATGAAAATACAACACATATCAATTCGGAACTTAGTCTCCTTCCACGAAGTCCGCTGCTGAATCTACACACATTATCCAGCGTCGTTTTCATTGATGGAAGCATTCTTAGAACTCCTTTATGTGGGTATCGAGCAGCTGCCTCGTCGTATTTTCTTGGATTTCGTCAACGTCTTGAAACCTTGCTCTTTTCAAGTAGAATTTGGTTTGTGAAGAGGAAAAAGTTGCAAGGGCCATGATCTGGGAAATATTTTGGTTGTTGAACCTGGGGAATATTGTGTTCGTCCCCAAACTGTTGCACAAGTCATGGTTACTGATGGAACTTTTCTTCTAAGCACTGCTATAGACAAAGGAAAGGAGTCAGAGATTTATGACTTAATATGCATGCGTAATAGAGTTCACGGTCAATCTGTTCTAAGCGACCTCAATGTGCCCACTTTAGCTCGATTAGCATAGCAAAAGAACCACCATAAAAATTAAAAACAAAAAGCACTAGTTTTTTTATGAATTTGCTTGCCAACTTGAGATTTAAAAAATGACTTACAATTTGTTGTTAACTGAAGTAAGAAATGAACGGTTAATGTTTCCAAAAAAAAGAACTACTCTTTTTTAATCATCTGACAGAAGCAGTTCGAACAATATTGCCGATGCTTACGTCCAGAAACTTCTTTCTTCTCGGCCTAACGTGTTCCGCTGACAGGAAATACAAATACAATATGGAAACAATGGCTAGGCCTGTTGATAGGAAAACTTGTTCATTGTGTGGTTGCTATGCAAATTTTCTCGCCAATATCTATCTTACATATTTATAAGTCTACCATTGCCCAGAAAACACCATTTCTGCTGCTACTGCTGCTGCTGCAGGGCATATGCTGCCGCTACGACCCTAGAGGTTTACAAATGAAAAAATAACTTCCAGCCAGTGAAACCTTTAGATCTTAGCAGCTACTGCCCTTTTTAAAACCTCGTGTACTGGCGCTACAGAATTGTAAACGGAGATCTGTACCAAATGACAGATACCACACCGACTGAGCAGTCTCAAGAGCATCAATAACTAAAATGGATTTCATATTTAACTCGTAGATATAATCAAGCTGTCACTATTTAACTCGAATGATATAATCAAGCTGTCACTACTTTAAAAGGTTAGGAAGGAAGCCTTCATATGTACAACAAAAACCGATAACACTGGAGTTGAGAGGCCTATTTTTCTGATTTTTTTTAATTCATATACAGGTTCGGGGTTAGTGTACTTTATTAAATTTGTTTGCGAAGATGTATTCTCGCCATTTAAATCATTAGCTTCTATATCTTTTTTTTGTACGAATGATTCATGTAATGTAAATTGAACTGCGCCACATACTTGATATTAAAATAACTGATCCGACGTGCAACTTTCGGATAATAACTGTGACATTCCTGTATTTATTGAACAATTTAGTTCATGCCACATTGACTGAAAAACCTACCATTACAAAAGAATTCTCCTATTACCATATTAGTACAAAAACGCACAATCTTAAAATTTAAAAATTCAACCTCAGCGCTGCGACCGCACGCTCCAAAAAAATTCTTAAAATTAAAAATAACACATTTCTAAAACATTTTTTCGGATTACATCTATATTTTCGTTGTCCTGTTATTAACGAGAAGTAAAAAACAAATACAAATCTATTTCCATACCTGAAGATGTCTGTAGGAACAGATGAAAGCTTGTAAAAAACTAAAAAAGACCTTATGCAACTGGAATTTATAAATAGAGATCATAACATTCATCTACAGGTTCGGGGTTAATGTACTTTATTAAATTTGTTTGCGAAGATATATTCTCGCCATTTAAATCATTAGCTTCTATATCTGTTTTTTGTATGAATGATTCATGTAATGTAAATTGAACTGCACCACATACTTGATATATATATATATATATATATATAGATATATATATATATATATATATATATATATATATATATATTATATAAATTCTCTTATCACAGAATTCTTGTCTTCAGAACGACTGAGCGAAAACGTTTAAACTAAGTGGAGTACAGGTATATCCGTAGTTTCAATAGGAAAATTACTTTTTCAGCCATCAGGTTAACCGTTAAAAGTAACATTAATTCTGTTAACCTAAATTCTGGCTGAATTAGGAAATCGTCAGTGTTTTTTTAAGAACCGTTACTTTATATAACAGATTCCCTATGTGGATATGTCCTGGGTATGACGATAAACTACATCCGGCAGTAAGGGAGGTTTTGAGGTGCGTGGGACCACCTCTTAATTGCTTTTGTTCCCAGGTCCACCCAGACCTGGGGTGGTAGCACCTGTTAGAGTCCCAGCTATGGGTTCTACTGGACCGCCAAACATGGGCAAAATTATTATGAAAATATAAAAAATAAGTTTTTGTAGTCAAATTACCAACAATAAATTTTCATAGTAAAAAAAAAAATACCAGCAATAAAGGAAAACTAATATTACCAACAATACAATTTTGAAAAACAATATTACCAAAGCTCCCAAGAACATTAAATTTCTGCATTAAATGACCCATAAGGATTTGATGTGCCAAAGCCAAACCAAATTAATATTTTGTGCATTGTAGTTCCCTCTTTCGTCGTGAAAGAGTCGTCAGATGTGTCCATTCCCTCTCTGAAGAATTTTTCTTTCTTTATAATTTTCTTTTTTTCTTTCATCTCCCTCGTGCCACTATAGGACATGGCCGATCATGGCTCTCCACAATTTCCTATCCTTCGTAGCCTTTATCTGTATTTGACTCTTTACTACCTGTCTCCTTTATTCTCTTAAATATTTACACAAGCACGTCAAGTAGGTGGCCCGCTGTTTTCCGTTGTCCCTTTGAGTGTCAAATTTTCCAAGTTCTACTTCGCCGTTCCGTGTCCAAGAAATTTTAAACTGTATCTTTCTGATTGTATGTATAATTGTTCTTCTTTGTATCCATTTAAGAGAAAAATTTCAAAATATTTTTAAAAATAACAATCAACTAAGCATCCTATAAAGTTAAATCTCGGAATTAAACAACCCATAAGAAGTTAATATGCCGTTAAAGAAACCAAACCCTACGTGGATATTTACTCAACCAGTACAATATTAACCTCCTCAAGTTAAGAGTCAATCATTATATGTCCTCGATATCACCATACATATTCTACATTTTACGCTCAGATTACACATTTCATTCAGTAAACCTATGCCTTGAATAGCTCTTGAGTTTTGTGTTGGGAGACTATTAATAATCAATGTTTTATTTGTGTTGGTGCATAATTATCAGGCGTTTTTGTAGGCGAGTAATTTTTTGATAAAAATTGCCGTTTTGTTTATTTTTCTTTAAATAAAAAAATATTTTAGTTTCAGGTTATAAGGATGCATGTCGATAATCATAGGTATTTAAAAATGTTATTGTTAAATTGTTATGTTTCTTTTTCCATAATAAATATTGTTTAAAAACGCCTGATAATTATGCACCAACATAATAACAAAAAACATATTTTAATCTTTTGACGATTTGCTGATCTTCTTCATCATTAACACTTTTATTTAAACTATCAGTCTTCCAGGTCTAGTAAAACTATCGTACGTACGCTAACCTGGCTTATGGCCATACCACGTTGAAACACCGTTTTCCGTATGGTCACCGAAGTTAAGCAATGTCGAGCCTGGTCAGTAGCTAGATGGGTTACCTCTTGGGGATATCAGGTGCGATAAGCTTGGATGTGCCGGTGGTGTAATTGATAACGGCTTGAAATTGTTAATCGGGTAGCCGATTTCGAATTCCACTTGAGATCGTTATATTCACTTACGCGCAAATACCCTTGGGAAAAGTATGAATTCTCCTCTTCTCCCCCCAACTATTAATTAGCAAATACCCTTGGGAAATGTATGAATTCTCCTCTTCTCCCCCCAACTATTAATTAGCAAATACCATTGGGAAAGGTATGAATTCTCCTCTTCTCCCCACAACTATTAATTAACAAATACCCTTGGGAAAGTTATGAATTCTCCTCCTCTCCCCACAACTATTAATTAGAAAATACCCTTGGGAAAGGTATGAATTCTCCTTTTCTCCCCACAACTATTAATTAGCAAATACCCTTGGGAAAGGTATGAAATCTCCTCTTTTCCCACCAACTATTTATTAGTAAACTTTATCCCTGAAACCATAATTTTCTGAAAAAAATGTGTAAAATGACCCATAGAGTTATTGATCTGCCACTAAACAAAAACAAACAACCAGCGTACGCTCAAACGATGACAAGCATGATCATTTGGTTCTGAGTGTCTACAAGGAAATGTGTTATAACAATTTGAATCTTGAAATATTAAAATATAACAAAGATTTGTTCTGTTTTTTTTGTTTGTTTTTTTTTAAAATAATAGAACCAATTATCGCGTTAACCCTGTCCCCCATTAAACAAAAAAAAAATAAATTATTTTCAATAATTTCTCGCCATTACAAAGAGAAAAATGATGTCTAATTATAATACAGTGACGCCTGCGAACGGACAGTTGTATGTTTTTTTTTTTTTTAGGTTCTTGTTCAGCAATTTAACAGAAATCGCAATAATTGATTTTTTTCCGATGGCAACAGAAGCTCTCTTATTCAGATTTACAAACGTCTGCCAATAAAAGACGCAAGATCAAGTTAATAACCCACAACTAAAATTCAAGTTTGACACAAGGTCGGGCTTGCAGACATATGATTCTCGATACATATATATACATCCAGATTTAGAGATTTCATAAATATATCAAGTTGATTACGCGTTGCTTCTAAAAGATAATTGTCAGAGCAATAAATTTATATGAAAAAAAAAATGCACGGATGAAAAATTCAGGGTTCAGTACCGCCAACGAGGTTAAGAACCACTGATCTTGGAAATGTTTTAAGAGAATACGGGAAATATGACACCGAAATCCGAAGATGCATTGGAATAGTAAAAGATGTCTTCCAAAAAGCTAAACAGATTATACATGGCCTCTTTGTTCTCGCATTCCTTAAAACTTCTTCGCTGTTCACGTGTTCCATCCATGATATTATAAGCATCGTTCTACAGAACTCATCTCTGTTGCCTCAGGTCTACAGTGCACCGCTATGGAAATTATCTGGCATTTAGTGCCATGTTGGAGAAATGAAAAGAAGATACTTCATCTGCATGCAAATTTCATTTTAGAGAATATGTCATTTAGATTCGTTTTATAATAGAAAATTTCCTTCTTTTCTTTAATTAACATCAGTCCTGGGTATGTTTTGTGATGTCAACGAACCCTTGTTGTCACTTTTGTAATGTCAACGAATACGCGTTGTCACTTTTGTTATGTCAACCAATACTCGTTGTCACTTTCTTAATGCTTGTTGTAGTAGAGACTTTGTAATCGCAGATACAACTATAGTAACAGCATAGGCACCTCGGTGTGGTGCAATGGTTAGCAATCTTGTCTCGCTAAAACAGTTACGACTAGAGAAAGTATGCGGCACCTCACTGGGCACCCCATACTTTCGGCCTTGTGCCACATCTAAGCTACGCTTAGAAGATCAGTGCAAATACAGTAACGCTGTAATCGCAGATACAACTATAGATAAGCCGTTGAACAATACTGGTGTCAGTCGCCTTTGAATAACACTCACACTAATAGTACTTGTTCGATAATTCTCGCTCGAAAAGTAGCCACCGAATAGTAATCCGCATATTGAACAGTATAGAGAAATAGTATAGTGAATAGTATGGAGATAGAGGATAGTATAGAAATAGTAATCCGTATAGTAATAGAGGATAGAATAGAAATGGTGATCCATTAGATGCCACGCTAATTCTTATATATACATTCCTTTTGCCATCACGTGATCTACTCATTAAAAATGGGATCGCCTGTGTTTACTTTCTGGTGATCTGTGTTCAAACTCCAGTGTCAGCAGCGACACTTTATTCCTATATAGCAGTGTGACAATAAACTACACCCGGCAGCAAGGTGTCTAATCGGGAGGTTTTAATTGAGGTTGTTCCCAGGTCCGCCCTAATCCGTGGGGGTTGCAACTGTTAGGGTCCGAGCTATGGGCAAATAGTTAACACAAAAACTGAGGTCAAAACACTATGAAAGTCTAAAAAAAATAGATATTTGTAGAAAAATATTACCTGCAATACATTTGACTCTCAACAAAACCCCTCTTTACAAAAATACTTAATAGAAACCTAATCTACAAATTGATTTCTTACAAAGAATACATCTTCTATTTATACGAATCTATCCTGAAAAGGCTTGACAACATTAAATAACCTATTGAGGTTGATATACCGTAAGACAAAATAAACCAAACGAACCAAATCAATTTAATTAATATGGTTATAATATTTCTTCTGGTTATTTTTTTAAAAGCTGTATAATAATGATACAGTTTGCATGTTTATAACATAGCAACATCACATTGTAGCTCAGCCTTTGTAAGCATACGATTAAAATGCTCTTACTCAGATAAGAAAACGATTCCAGTTCAGTTGGGAACCATTTTCCGAGTAATATTTAATATCTATCTATAAAAGACAGGATGTGTGTGGGGGTGTGTAACGAATGAAAGGATTTGCACCAAAATTTACATGCACATGCTCCAAATTAGCGGGAAGACCAAGACCGGCGTTGCATTTCCCAACTCCCATCGATAGTGGAAGTAATCGATTTTTTCATGCTTCTACGGCAGTTTTCATGTAGTTTGCGGCCATTTTCTACTGGCCAGAGTGAGAGCCTATAGCTGACTGCCACGAATAGGCAGGAAGATTCTATTGGCCAGCGTAAGAGCCAACAGCTGACTGACACGAATATTAACTAGCATACTAGCATGCAAAAAAAAATCGATAGCTGCATTCGCCACAAGTGGGAAACTTTAAATCTGCATGGCACTTTACTGCAATTGGTTCATTCGCTTGCTTAAACTCAACGTTGATTCTGATTCTGCAGAACTGTGTTGGGTGTGAAAAAGTATCTGTGGTTAACATTTTTTTTCATTCGGTTTTTCCAGTTTCGAATCCTTTTTTAAAGCTGATCATTTTGTGTTCATTTTGTTTAGTTCTTTTTTCGTAACAGATTTAATGTTTAGTTTAGAGCTTAGAAAAAATTCGCAGTGTGAGATAGGCAAGAAGTAAGGCATGTAGCAACATCAGCACGGCAAATTGCACTCCTTTAAAGGCAAGGAAGGGCAAAAATATTTTAAGTCAAGTGATAGCGATTGTTGTACGATTTTTGAATCAACGCCGGGCCATGCTGCTAGTTAAATATAAATTACAACAAACAAAACATTTAAGGGAGATAACTCCGTGTATAATTACTGCTAATTCGCTATTTTTTCTTGTTTACATAATAAGAAGTATAAGCATGGTGGAATTATTGAGCTACCGACACTATTAATGTCATCCCAGTAACCACATCAGTAGTAATTCAGCATAGTGATTTCTTGATTGCTTAATGTTAGATACGACCACTAAAACGAGATAACACCAGGAAAAAAGAGCATACTGTGATAACAAATGATTATGTTATTACTAAGAGGAAAGAGCAAAGTTGTTGTTTTTTTATTTCATTAATGTTTTTAATCATTTCTAGCACGTTCCAGGTTTTGTTAATAATTTTGTTTTTTCATGCGTCAGCGGCAAAAATTACGAAAAGAAATTTTAACGTTTTTCTTGCGGTAAAGAAAACACTTAAAATTCTTACATAAATGAAATAATTGTCGGATTTTAATGAAATTTTCATGACTTAATCACACACGAATTAAATTATATTCAATTTTTTTTTCAAAGTTACCCGCTACTTACTTAATTTCATGAAATTTCGAGAAATTAAAATTTCACTCACTTAATTTAGTCAGAAAATTAGAGAATTTTAAATCATTACAATTACGTCTAATTCGCTATTTTTTCTTGTTTACATAAGAAGAAGAATAAGCGTGGTGGAATTATTGAGCTGCCGACACTGTTAATGTCATCCCAGTAACCACAACAAGCTTCACCTTCATGATCAAGAGTTTGATATACATATTCAGTGATGGCCGTTAGCACATAAGCGGTAGACCTGGCAAAACGGAAGCCGTATAGTTTGTCAGAGAGTAGGTCGTGAGAAGTAAGATGCTTAAACACTTCTGCATTGATTGAAGCCTCGAATACATTGCCGAAAAACGGTAGGAGACTAATAAGGCGGTAGTAAGAGGGGTCAGAAGATTCTCCTGAGTTCTTAAAATCAGGAACTACAGAGGAAGTCTTCTAGCAAACTGAAAAGCAGGAAGCAGCGAGGTAATATTTGGATAGTTTGGAGAGAACTAAAGCCAGCTCTGGAACATTTCTTTACGGCGATGGCTCAGATCTCCTCACCTCCGCGTGTCTAATGGGAGACTAATTTCGAAAATCTCTGTCCTACTGTGGAAGTCAGGTATGGGTCGCCCGAATATGTCGAGTTTTGAGTTAGAAGTGAATCATGAAAATAAGAAACGGCATAGTACCCAGGAGAGAGCCTTGCGGGACACACGCGTTCGTGTTAAAGGATCTGGAAGCGAGCCCGTTCAAAATGATCCTCATTTCATGATTTAATAGAAATGAGTGGATTAAATCAAACAATGGTCCAATAAAACCGTACCCCTAGTACGTACGGAGAAGACCAGCGTCCCAAACACTGTCAAACTCCATCGAGATATGTAGATCTATTGCCCAAGCTTCACCT